TATTTTAAAAAGAAGATATATAGCTATAAATCTATTTTTTTGAATCTTAGAACTTTTTTTTTACTTTTCGTAATGCGAGAAAATCATAAGTGTTCCTGAATTTGTATAAACGATAGTGTAATTTGAAACTTTTTAAAGTCATTTATAAAGTTTGCGAATTCAATCTCAATCGGCGAGTCTGCACAGAGACGCGTCTTTTTTAGATTGGAAGTATTGCGTGATTCAGTGCACGGGCTATCTGAAGTCCTGGGCTCCCGCAAAGATCGGTCTCGAGGAACAGGAGGGCGAGGCCGACGGCGAAGCGTGCAATTTGTCCTGCTTGGTAGCAGTCGGTCGAATCCAAACAGCGATATCGACGGCCGCGTCGAGGAAGCCCCATTCAAGACCCATACAATTTATCTCGCGACACGCAATGGATGGCAAATTTCTGTTCGTGGACCAAAGGTATATATCGAAATTGTTATTGAATCGTTAAAAACGATTAACATTATCAAAAGAAGACGTTAGCGAAATATATTTATAGTAATTACGATATATATTATAATAGAAATATATTATATGTAATCTAAATATAATAAATTGAAAAGAGGAAATTTGCTATTCTTGACTCTCTTCTTCAAAATATACAGTAACAAATATGTTTCACAAATTTTTAGTTATTTACATATATTGTTATTTATTTCTGCTTATATTATAATTTCTAAAAGCAGAAAGCTGCTAAAACTATAATTAAAAGCGATCAATTTATTAATTGTTGTTTATTATTCAGCCTTATTTACAATTAAAAAATATGCGTTATAAAAAAAGATACATATAAATTTTGGAATATTGATAAATGATATACGGACTCTTGTATATATTAGAGAATTATCTTTTTTCTCACATAGAGCTACTCCAGTATTGGGCTTTCTACCTCAGGAACTGCTAGGCACCAGTATGTATGAATACTATCACCACGACGATATTCCTCATCTGGCAGAATCTCACAAAGCTGTGTTGCAAACTTCCGAACGCGTTACCACGCAGGTGATTAACTGTTGTTCAATGTTATCACTTCGCAATTGTTCTTCGCGATGATAATCGGATTAAAATAAATTATAAAATATTAGAATTGTTAATACCCATACGATATGCTCTCTTATCATCGAGAACATAAAGCAATTTGATTGGCGATTAAGGCAAAGAGAGATCTTTATTACTCGCGATAATGATTTCGCATTTTGATCTCATATATTATCGTTTTCATAGATCTACAGGTTCAGGAGCAAGGACGCGAACTTCGTGCGGTTGCAGTCCGAGTGGAAATCCTTCAGGAATCCATGGACTAAAGATATCGAGTATCTAATCGCTAAGAATTCTGCTATCTTGTAAGCAATGATCGATTCTATGCGTCGTTCGCGAAGTTACCATATAAATAGTTCTGTATCTTTTTTTTCAGCTGCGATACACGTACAAGTGGAAATAACAGATCTGAGGACTCGAGCGTGCAGGGCAACTATGATTATTTCACACAAAGTAAGTGCGATTTGAAACGCGCGTTTATACGACAATCGCGATTTGTCGAAGCGATTAATTGAAGGATCGTGCTAATTTGTGGTAAGCAGGTAATGGTGGATTAGAAAGACTGATCTCGAGCCACGTGGAAGTAAGTAAGATCGGCCGGCAAATAGCGGAAGAGGTATTGGATCTACAAAGACGCGGAGAAGACTCCTCCTCAGGTAGTAGTCCTGGTCCAGCGACAGAAACCGGTTTATTGAATACCGAGGTAAATATATTTGATTGAATTCGATAAAGAAAATGAAGGAAGAAAACAAGTAAACAAATAATTTATTAATATAAAATTGTTTTATATGTTTGATAAATTATCTTTTCTCATTGCTCTCTCTCTCTCTCTCTCTCTCTCTCTCTCTCTCTCTCTCTCATTTATTTGGTCTTCCTTTGTTTTTTTATCGTTTAAAATATAATGAATTTAAAATTGATTACTAATTGTTTGAATTTGGCTTGGATTAACTAACTAGTTTTTAATTATTTATCTTTAATTAAAGTCGCAAATGATCACGACGACGGCATCGCCAGAGAGAATACCTGACATTTCCCAGCCGAGTGGCATCGGCAGCGACAACAGCAGCAGCAACCCCACATCGACGTTCAACCACGTAGCGAACAACGTGCAGCTCAACAGCATCGCGAATGACCAAGGTCATAGCTATTACTGTCTCTAAGGAGTCATTTCTTGGTGTGTAGTGTGTTCGCCAAAATTATTCAGAGAAAAAAAGAAGTAGAGAGCAAACCTCTCTCTCTCACGAGGAAAAGAGTTTCGTCAGCGCGCGTGTGAGAACAATTTGACTTACATAAGATTTTCCTTCGTGCGAGAGAGATTATTGAAGGCGAATTGATACTATGCAGAGTATAGCGTTGATTCTGTTTGCCGATATAGTTCAATCAATATTAGTGATATCACGCACAATGTAACATCCACCTACTTTCAGGAGCGTCACCAGATGATGACATGATGGACATGATTGGCGGCACCACGATTAATGAATCACCAAATCCGATCCCATCCGATGGCAACGATGAGGCAGCGATGGCTGTCATCATGAGCCTGCTGGAGGCGGATGCAGGTCTGGGCGGTCCAGTGGATTTTTCCGGATTGCCATGGCCGTTACCATAATGCATGTGCACTTTAGTCTGCAATTTTGAATGTCTCCTGGTTGAAACATACTCGGAACGAATGGATGAGACTTGGTGCTGAAATGGTGCTTTAAGATAGGATTTTATTAAGCGAACTAGCTTCCAAACAAAACTTCTACATCGCAATCAATTAACTATCGTTCTTCATCGATATTGTAGATTCGTAGTTCCATGTATATATATATATATATATATATGTTTATATGCTATCCCTGCCAGTAAATATCAACTAATAGTAATGTAACATTAATGTCATAATTTTACAGTCAACAATATAAATGTATTATAACACATGTTATATATAATTGTTACATTGTTGAGTACAATTATAACGTTATGTGTTACTGTTAGTTGATATTTTTAAGAAGAAGCTGGACTTCCTCCATTACTTGTCGTTGATTTTTCAAAAACTCATTTTCATGCGGTGAAATAATTTGCGTTTACATCAGCGAGAAACAAGTGAAGATTGACGAACGCCCTCAGAGATTATAGTGATGTGATAATAGTGCGGACAATAACATATGAATTTTTTCTTTTTTTTTTTTTTAAAGGGCATCATTTCTTCAATACAGTCTCTTTTCAAGGGTGAGGACTTTCAGAAAATGAATCTCAAAAAACTAGCCTCTTGAAGAGGTATACATAGGGCGAGAGCTGAAATCCACTGATTACGCAACGAGTGTATATAATTACTCGTCGTCTCAATAACTGTGCGAATAATTACTTAAATTGACGTTATACGTGTAAATACATAGGTATGCGTTGCATTGTATGCGCGATATGCCGTTTAAATGTACCTAATTAAATAAAATCGTAGGAATATCTGTATATGCAAAGAAAATAAATCTTTTACTCGATGAACGTATGAAATAAGCAAAGTTTATTCGTTATGTGTGTAAATATAAATTTCCAAATGCATTATCTATTAGAATATATCAGTAACTGTACGATCTGCTGCAATTTAGCATTCCTATATTTCATTTCGCTATAACGTCTCAAATCTATGCAAAAATATCATAGTAATATTTCTTAAGAAAGACACGAGTAGAATGTGGTAGAAGGTAAGAATTAATGTAAATAACATGATATATTGTTGTAATTTATTGTTCGATATTAAAAAAGAAATACAAACATTCAACAAATATTCACAAGATATCTTGGTATCTTACATTTGGTATAAATAAATGATAATAAATCTCTTATGTATAAACTTTGAACTAATTGCTGCGAGAACTTCTTTTCTAATACAGTCTCAAAATATATGATATTTTAAAATGAAGGAAGTTGTATTCTTAAAGATTCGTTGAAATTAAAATACACTTTAGGTCATCAATTAAAATTTCTATTAAAAAATGTTCGAGGGGAAATATAACTCGAAATATAACAGACTGAAACATGGTAACAAATTTGTATTTCAGGAGTTAAGTTCACGATCAAATTAATTGTGAGTGTATTTTTTTAAATTTTAAATACATTTTACGTTTTTCTACATTAATTGCTATTAGTGTATAAATTCTTAGGCGAGAAATTTTTTTATATACAAAAACGTGAACTTATTATTTACATCAATGTGTACTAATGAGAAAATTATTAAGTATAATACATCATATTCTGATATGTGATGATTTATCGATATTCAAATAAATCATCTAGATATTAACATTTAGATTAATATTAATATTTCCTAAGTACAAAATCGTTGTTAGATGTTTAATAAAAAATATTCCTCATAACTGTAAATATCGCAATCTATAAATAATTGTTTTTTGGATATGCTATTCTTCTAAATTATTTGAAAAAATATTGACATATAATATGCTACTTATATATAATATTGCTTTTCTTCATATTTAATATAGAGAATGATATTTCCTGCATTGTATTAATTCTTTTCTTCTTCTGTCTTTAATAATTTTTAAAAGTAATAGTTTTAGATTTTAAAAAATTTCTTCGCATATTTCTTCTTCTTTTTCGTTTCTGTTAACTCTGTTTTAATAATATTAATAGAATAGAATTTTCTCTCTTCACAGCTTTATATGACTCTATATATTCTAAAATTATATCATTATATGATTATAAAATTATATCATTTTTAAGTAGCGATTTGGATTTTCTTGCTTTTTTATGTTTTTTAGAGACAATTATTGACTTCCGAATTATTTAAAAAATCATCAGTATTTAATAAAATATCCAGCAAACGAGAATAGATTAAAATGGATTGAAATTTTGTTCTATCCGAATGCATATTTTAAATAGCGAATATTTTTTTTGGATTTAACTGGATTCAATTAGATTCAATTGGATGCAATTGGATTGAAAAACTGCATTTCCTATTCAAAATTTTGAATTGAACAGTATTCATAATGTTTGTTGTATGCACAGAAAAACTAATATTATTTTTAGAAAGACACAGAGATATGCTCCATGCAATTTCTATAAATGAATAAAAATGCATTCAGGATTGAAAAACATTTATTTTAACATTCGTGAATCAATATTTCTGAAAATCTGAATCCATTTTAATTCATTTCAATCCATTCACGTTTGCTGAGTACGTACTTTTAGTATTGCTGTTTTTTTTTTCACATTTAATAGTTCTAGAAGTATCATTCCCTACATGACTTTGATTCTACAAATTCGAATTACTCTCACGAAACTTGTATTTCGATGTTTTTTTCTTCTTTTTCTCAGAAATACTATTATCTTCCTATATTCTATTAATGCCAATCTTCATAACGTTATTTTCGCACTTTCAATTACATTGTCCATGTTATCGAATATCAATTATGCTTTTTGATAATTTACTTGCAAAGTGCCACAGACGAAAAAAAGTTTACTCTTGTAATATATTTGAGTCACACAATTTATTTCCTTTCCAATCTCCACTGATCATTTCTCCGTATTGTCTCATAATTTCAGAATAGATACGGTGTGCATTTTACATTAGCATAATTGCATAATATAGTCCAAGTCCTTATTCATAATATCTAAAAGATAATATATTAGTTATTATATATATTTTCTTAAAATACAAGCAAAATATTTTAGACACAATAATAAGATGAATCAATTGATATAAAAAAATACTTGTTGCTTTTCAAAAAAATTTTGTAATTCACATATTTGCTCAATACTTCTTTTTTATTTCAACTTAATATTGATAAAAAAATCATACAGTCGTATCACCGACTATTATCGATGATTGCAGATTAATAACAGGTACATATAAAATTTTTACAGTATTAAATTGATATTTTTGAATAGCGCGCATTAATCCTGAATATGGCGGTGTTCACTTATAGCGTTTTCGGCCCGACGGGATTTGCACGAACTTGGATTAGAAAATATTTCGCTATTGGTTGACGTTATTACATGCTCTACCAATAGGAGAGTACGAAACATCTTCAACCCAGGTTAGTGCAAACTCAGTCGAACTCGGTCAAACTCGGGTCGAAACGCTATTGTATTTCTACAATTCGATTACTGTGCTAGTCGGCGAAGACGGACAAAATTTCTCAGACTTCTCTTTATCGTTACTCAGTCCATGATATAAGAAATCAACAAATAAAACGTATATATGTACTGTGATAAATTGGGAATGTACGATTATTGATTGAAATGAAATCCTTTATTTTATTATAAGTTGCATTGTACTATACGTCATATAAGTTAGTAGAAACCGTATGTGGATTTAATTTTTACTATCCAATCGCTGTCGTTCAGCAATATGAATTCGAAGAAGACCATAACCTTTGGCAAGATAAGCGCCAATTTAGATAAACTGACACCCGAGGTATCCGTCGAAACTTCGAACTCCGGATTCGGCATTTTCGGTAAGAAACGCGAAGAAAATAATGTGAAGAAAATGGACGAGATCAGGCCGGAGGACGAGGAGGAAACTCGGAGTATACAGAAGTTGATGGGCATCACGGGCTTCGGAAAGAAAGCCAAGTCTTTCGACGTGCAGGAGATGATGGAGAATATTACCAAGACCATCAACAGCAATAAAGCAAGCATGGTCGAAGAAAAATTCGACGAAGTTGCGGAATCCAAAAAGGACGAGGTGGATGACAATGACGACGATTTTATTGGTCCTCCAATACCTTCATTACTTGTTACTTCAGATGCAATCAAAGATTCAAAGAAGGACGCTTTGGTAAGAATTTTTTTCAATGTCCTTATTTTTCACAGAATTTTTATATAAATTTTTTAGACTTTCTCAGAATTTTTGTATAATTTTATAAATTTTTAGAAAATATTTGGATTTTTTAAGTATGAGTTGGAATTTCTTATAAGAAACTAATTCAATTCTCCTTGAAATATATTGTTGAACATGAAACTCTAAGAAATACATATTTTAACAGTATATTTCAAGGAGGATCAATTCCAAACAATTGTGATAGATGTCTCTTGTTAGATTTTGCTAAGAAACTTTATATCTTTTTTAGAATTTTTCGTATGTGTGAATTTTTATTTTATGATTTCTAAGATTTTCATTGTATAATTTCTGAAGAAAACTTATAAAATCTGAAAAAGTTTGTTATTTTTAAAAATCTTCATAAATTTAAAATATAACAAATATTAAAAATATAAGCTAACATAAGAAATTTTTTTACTTTAGGGCAAGAAAAACGACGACGATGACGACGATGACGATGACGATGACGATGATAAAGAATCGTCGGATTCCGAAGAGGAAGAAGAAATAACATTAAGGGACAAGATTCCTTGTTCGCATGAAGTCTCAATGACTCATGGCACTAAAGCAATAATTGCCATCGCTGCGGATCCGTCCGGAGCTCGATTAGCGTCTGGATCCGTCGATTACGACGTCTGTTTCTGGGATTTCGCCGGTATGGATACGTCCATGAAGAGTTTCAGGACTTTGCAGCCCTGCGAGAATCATCCCATCAAGTGCTTGCAGTATTCCATGACTGGGGACGTAATATTGGTAATCTCAGGAGCGGCGCAGGCGAAGGTCTTGGATCGGGATGGCTTTGAGAAATGTGAGACTGTCAAGGGTGATCAGTACATTACGGACATGGCGCGTACAAAAGGCCACACCGCTAGTCTGAATAGTGGCTGTTGGCATCCGTTCATCAAAGAGGAATATCTGACCTGCTCTCAGGACAGCACCTGCCGAATATGGAATTTATATAGGCCACGCTCACACAAAAACTTGATAAAGTGTAGAGCTCAAAACGGCGTGAAAACTATTCCCACGACGTGCGCTTACAGCCGGGAAGGCGCGGCTGTTGCGTGCGGCTGCATAGACGGCTCAATTCAGATGTGGGATCACAGAAAGAATTTTGTGAATCCGTCCCTCGTGTTGCGAGGTGCGCACGCACAATCCAGCGAGGTGTCGAGCTTGAGTTTCGCATATCTCGGACAAATGCTGGCAAGCAGAGCTTGCGACGACACTCTGAAACTGTGGGATTTAAGGGCGTTCAAAGTACCAGTATTCGAAGCTAAGGAACTATACTCACGTTATGATACCACGGATTGCATGTTCAGTCCGGATGACTCGATGATCGTCACGGGAGAATCTCTGAGTAAGGGAAAGACGACCGGCAGGGTGCTGTTCTATGACAGTAAGACGTTTGATCTAGTCAGAGAAATCCCCGTGACAAGTTCACATGTAATAAAAACTCTATGGCATCCAAAATTGAATCAGGTGTTTGTCGGCTGCGGCAATGGCATAGTCAAAGCGTATTACGATTCCAAGAAGAGTTTAAGGGGCGCCAAACTGTGTGTCGTCAAGACACACATGAAACAGAAGCACATCGAAATAATGTCCACTCAGCAAATCATAACGCCTCATGCGCTTCCTCTGTTCCGCCAGGATAGACCCAAGTCAGTTCGTAAGCAGATGGAGAAGGACAGGCTCGATCCAGTGAAATCAAGGCGTCCAGATCTGCCTATTACTTCCGGGCAGGGTGGTAGAGTAGCATCTTCCGGTGGAACTCTTAGTTCTTATGTGATACGCAATCTCGGATTGAGCAAACGGATAGAGGATGATCAGGATCCCAGGGAAGCTATTCTGAAGTATGCAAAAATAGCTGAAGAAGAACCATACTGGATCGCACCCGCTTATAAGAAGACACAGCCGACAACGATTTTTCAAAGCGACGATCAAGATAGTGGGCCGAGTAATAAGAAACAAAAAACATAGACTTTTCTTAATCTTAAGAAAACTTAGACGCATATTTATCTTGTATATTAGCATTGTGTAATTATATATGTATCTATGTACAGTACATATAACGAATTAATGGAAGGAGAATGTAATTTTGTTATAAATATATTATGTAATTATATTGTACATCCGACATTTTATTTGTATTTATACCTTACTTATTTAATAAATTTAATTTCATTAATCGCGTATAAATTTTTAATTTGTATGATCAAAATAATTCACCTTTCATATCTGATAAATATTTATTACATGTAAAAATATCTATTATTATCTATTATAATAGATAATACATATAACAATCTATTACTACATTTGAATAAAACTATTCAACAAAATTGTTCAGTTTTTGGAAATTATTAGCTATATGTATCTTTTCTTTTTGTAGTAATAAAGAACATATTTAATTAAAAAAATATGTATATATAATATTTTGAATAAAGTTTCATTTACAATTCAGATTTTGGAAAATATTGACTACAATTGTGGATCTTTCTTATAAAGGGAGAATTGTTTAATTTATGAAAAGAATTTTTTAATGTTATATTTATAAAATAATTTATAAAATAAATATATCTATTAAATTTAAATAAATTTTTTAAGCAGCGTTCACAAATTTGGGCGATCAATTTGGGGCAAATAAACGATTGATAAATTTAGAACGATATACCATCCACAGACAACTGTTGCATTCTTTGAATTTTCCGAAGGCAGCCTACGATCACGTGATCTGGTATGAACCTAACCTAACCTCGTATAATCTAATCATCATTTAGCATTCAACGTTCAAAAGTAGAAGTCGGATTTAAAATTTGCGACGCCATTCGAATGACTAGAGATAGAATTTGTGTAGATTTTCACAATGTGAAATATTTAGTTATTCGAGTCTAAGCTGTAAAACCTGAAGTATTCTCGAGTGGCTTTGAGTGGTATATATACAACCACGTAAAAATAACCTATTTTTTTTTCATCGTATAAAATACGTTTCTTCATAAACATGGCCAAGAGAAAATCCTTAAATCGTGTATCCCGACGATACTCCAAACGTAGATCCGTCGACTCCTTCGGTTCTGGACATCTTGATCCTGATACATTCGTCGTGGATGAAGGTAGGAATATCTTTCCTTTATCATTTTGCTCATTTGCTACGACGACATAACTAAAAAAAGCGTCATTTTTTCGTTGCTTGCAGATCAACAGAAATATAAAGAAACATAAAGAAAATAAACAATGTATTTTAAAAAACTTTTATTTTATTACAATTATTATAATTATTATGTTTATTATATATTAATAAATTATTGTAAATTATTATATTGAAATTATATTTTAATATTGTAACATTTTAATAATTTAAAATGTTGAAACTGATTTTTTGAAAACTTTATTTCTTAACTTATTGTAGCAAATAAGTGACTTCGTTTTAGGACATTATCTTTATTACAGACAAATTAAGAGTCGAAGAGATTTTAATGTAATTTTAACATATTCTTCTTCTGCAGAACGAACATTTTGGTGGAATAACTTGGAAGAGAATACATTCCCTCCGCATTCCATAATTCACAGTGAAAATGAAACGTCTAGGATGCTGAATGCTAATTCAAGGATTGATTCTAGTCAGAATTCCGATCCTACGGAATGGTGGAAAAATTTAGATTCTGATACTGAATCCATTGCTTCGAAGCCAAGAAGCTCAAGGCGTAGCGCAGGTATAAATGGACAGAATATTTAATTTATTCTTTTTAGAATTTCTTTCATGATTTAGTTTTTCTTTTTTTCTTTTCAAATTGAAGAGTAAAAAAGAAAAGACGAACTGTGTAAAAAGTTCAACTAAAAGAATAAATTTTTCAACTCTCTGTCTGCAATCTGGATCTTTTTTGATGCAAGCGAAATTTCACTTAGATTTCTCCAAATTGAAGCAGGACAGAGTTCTGTACCTCCTCTTAAAATATCTTGTTAAAAAATTGTTTGGTAATGTAGAATATTGAAAAAAATAACCTTAAACTTTTTCATATTTTTTGAAAGAACAGTAAAAAGAACTTTGGCTGGATGGAGAAAGTAAAAATATTATATAATTGCAGATGGAGTTTTGCATTATTATAGATATTTTGTATTACAGATTTGTAGTACTTATAAGATATATTATTATTTTAGCAATAGTTAAAAGTCGTATATTACAAACTTCGACTGAGACATCTGAGTCAGAAAAAGAGCTCAATTTAAGAAAAAAGAAGGTTCGTTTAAAAGCAAGTAATAGGAAGAGTATTAACAATGCTTTCGCAAATGCTTTGAATGATACCGAGACAACTACGCCATTAAAATCGCGGAAGAAACAAGTCCACTCTGAAATACATATTGATTCAGTCAGTGAATCTTTGCAAGGAAGATCACAGGAAAATGAAGAGGATAGTAATTCGAGCCCAACTTCGAAGATTTTGAAATCAAAGCCAAGTATTTTTAGAACAAGAAGAGGTAGAGGAGATGGTATGAAAGATCAGAATATCTTTCAGGATGTGCTAATGGAAAATAATGTTTTGAATACCAGCACTGCGAAAACATCAGTCGTGTTTGAAAAGGAATCCTCGCAACATTTAATGCATCGAAATATTAATACGAATAAAGATCATATTGATGATCAAAGAAAATCAATAAGATCGCCTCAAACAATGTCAAGGATTTTGAAAACAAGAAGTGGAGATATGAAAGATCAGAACGCTTTTCAGGATGTACTAACGAAAGATGATGTTTTGAATGCCAGCACTGCCGAAAAATCAGTCGCATTTGAAAAGGAATTCTCACAGCATTCGATGCATCAAAATATTAATACGAATAAAGATTATATTGACGATCAAAGAAAATCAATAAGAGCGCTAGAGGATATTGAAACTGATTCCTTAACCCTAAATGTAGAGAAGGCAGTGCCTGAAAATAACGCTGAGACTGAAAGTAACGATGAAAGTATCGTACATCGTCAACATTTAAAATTTAAGTCTCGCTTTATGCAGCAAGCACGGAAAAGCATAGGAAAAAATGCCTTTGCAGATGCTGTAGTTGATGATAGTAATGCAAATTTGTCTACATCTAATCTAAATAAGGAAAACAATATTCAAAAATCTTTAATGTCGCGATCATCTTTAAACAAATCTAATGCCAACAGCAATATTACGCCTGAAAGTTTATCAATTCGTAAAAGTTCAAGATTGTCTTTAAATATATCTAAAAAGCAGCAATCAGATATATCGGTGCAAGATAAAAATAATATTGAATCAAGTTTGAGCAGCTCATCCCTGGATAACAATGAATCCCGTGGAATGAAAAGATCCGCATTTTTGAAGTCAAAATCAAGAATTCCAAAACCTTTTCGTAAGCGCTCATCTAATCCATTCGAAGAAATTCTGAAACAAGATAATATCAGTGATAGAAGAAATAATGTTCCAATTGAAGAATATTATGCTTCTTCTGAAGGAGAAACTACAACAAGGATTAATCAAGAACGTGAATCTTTAGCAACACAGAAAAATCCACAATCAGAAAATAATAATATTACGAATGAGGAAGATTCTTATGAAATATTTTTCGAAGCGTTATCAAACATCGAGAAAAGTCGATCTAAGGAATCTAATATACTATCGGAAGATGAGAATAAACTATTAGAAAACAACGATCTCAATAACACATCAAAATCAATTTCTCGAAAGAGTGTAATAGCTAAATCGTTAGAAGAAAAAATTTCCAATCGCAAGTCCATTAGGGAAAAAACTTTGAAGGAATCCGCATATACAAATGCAATATCGCCCGTCGACAGATTAAGTACTAATAAGGTAATAATACAAGATGCAAGTGACGATTCACATACATATGTAGAACGCGATGTAAGTACATCCGAATCAAATTCTACTAAGGAAGTTGGTTTGACGCAAAACAGTTTAAGAATTCGGTCTGAAATACCTGTGAATATAGAAGTACATGAAGCTAATGATAATTTACACACTGATGCAAATAGAGAACATGATTCAAGTACGCCCAAACGATCGTTTAAATTAACCCCTAATAAGGAAGCTCATTTGACGCGTAATAGTTTAAGAAATCGATTTGAAACATCAAAGCCTGTGAATATAGAAGTACATGAAGATATTAATAATTCGCGCAATGATGCAAATAGTGCGATTTATAGACACGATTCAAATATGCAATTGTCCAAATCAAATCTTAGTAAGGAAGATCGTTTGACGCATAACAGTTTAAGAAATCAATCTGAAACATTGAAACCTATAAGTAAAAATACGGAAGTCTCTAAGCGGTTTTCCAATGATGATAAAGACAATAATATAAATGTTGATTTGGAAACAAGTTCAGATAGTACAGTGTATCTAATAACAAGAGCAGATATACATTCTGAAAATAACACAAATATAAGAACACAGAAAAACACTAATCTGCCAACTGAAAAAGAAATAACTAGTGACGAAGATGCAGAGACTGCAACGCAAACAATTCAACGAAATTCCTCATCAACAAAATCTGGAACAAGGAGTAAAGTAGTAAATCAATCTAAAACACTGAAACCTACGAGTAAAAATATGGAAGCCTCTAAACAATCTACAAATTTGATCGCTGATATTGAAGAAGACAATAATATAAATGCAGACTCAGAAACAAGTGATAGTATATCGCATATAACGAGAGCAGAAATACATTCTAAAGATAACACAAACATAGGAATAGAGAAAAGCACTATTTTATCAACTGAAAAAAAAATAATTGGTGATGAAAATACAGAACCTGCGATACAAACAATTCAACGAAATTCTTTGACGAAACCTGAAACAAGTAAAACAGTAAATCAGCAAAGTATGCAAAATTCAAATAGGACCAGCATTAAGGACAGAGAAATTGCACATAGAAAAAAAAGTTTGGGCAAGTCTCAAAATTATCGCAATACGCCGACTAAATCGCCGACTAAATCACCGGCTAAATCGCCGACTAAATCAAGTAAAGATACTTCTTCCAATAAGCAAAATTCGTCTAAGTCACTGAAAAAAATAGATGATTTTTTCATCAAAATAAAAGAAACTTCGACGAAACAACTAAACGAACGCGCGCAAAAGTCGCAAGTCTTCGATAATGAGAAAATGAAGAAGATTAAAATAGAATTGGAGAAGCTAAAGAGTCGCGAGATGGCTGCGATGAAAAAAAAATCGGCCGATAAGAAAACATCTGCAATAAAAAAGGAAACAATGAAATTTGTTATATCTAAACAAGATATAAAGAAGAAGAAGCCGCTCATGAATTCTACGAAAGTAGATAAGGCATTTCTAGTATATGGAAAAGTATATAGACCACCAAGACTTCCTCGTCCGAAACATTGGGCTACAGATCGTCTTTACAAGTTTCTGTGGAAACGCTTGGAGCCAAAGTACAAACTGGCCACGAGAGTGAAGTCTGAGAAATTCGTGCAGGAATTAGCTACGGTAGTAGCTATTATTGAGCGTTGTAAGAATTACGAAAATTATAATACCGAATTAAAGGCTCTGATGAAGGAAATGGCTCGTTTGAAACTTATCAATACTCGTATGGACTTTTATCATTTCTGTCAGGATTTTTTACCATATGAGTTTCGTGTTAAAGTCATACCTATGTCATTACCCGGCAATGAAAATAATATTCCCTTCGATCCAAAAAATGTGCATACTCCTTTACTTGATACCGAATGAGTAATCGTTGAAAATGTAATTATAATACGATAGAATATATTAATTATGTTTATTTAAGTTATACGTGTATAGCGGTGATTTCATTCTTTGAATGTACATACATGTATCCAATAAAAATTAATATTATTTTGTTAACATATATATAATTGATAATATATTTTTGATGAATACAAGTAAATGGAAATGTGGAAGATATTGATGTTATATATAATCTAAAAAATTCATGTAAATTAGAATATACATTTAATTTCATTAAACAATATTTTGATATTATTCAATAAAAATAAATAAAAGAATTTTTTCAGCTTATATTCTCTTTTGTCGCTTTTTGATATTTTGTTATTTTGGCGAATTTTGTAAAAAATAAAATCAACTGCATCAGTTAATTTAACTTGGTGCTAATTAAACTTAAATTTAATTATGATCCCTTACCTTTGTAAATGAAATTAAAAAAAATAGAATTAACGTTTTTAAAAATAGCATGAAGTTATATTATTTTTTCTTTTTTTCTTTCTATTAATTATTCTAATGAGTAACACTATGCCATTTTTAAAAACTTCAATTTTATTAATATAAATTAAATAGAAATTGAATCAAGACCCAGAGATAATTCTATACGATACATAGCTATTGGTGTGAAAAATAAATTTTCTTTCACATCAATATTCTGTGTTTGGTTCTAAAAGGCATCATCTCATCGATTGATTTAATTTTATTTCTCATTGTATATAATATACATGTGTATGCATAAATTTAAATATATAGTAATATGTGTATACAAACAGAAAGAAGAGCTAAAAATTATTTATTTGCTAAATCAATATATCAATAATTTAACGTGCATAATTGTAATGACAATTTAATATTTATTAGTTGAAAACTTTATCTAGTTATAATCAATTATACAAAATTTTCAATTAATGGATATTAAATTGTTATAATTAAAATATATGGATATTAAATTATTGATATATCGATTTATATTGAACTATTCTTAACTCTTTTTCCATTTGTACGTATATGTTACTATTTAAATGGTATCATCGAAATATAATACTTAAAAAATGATTCTAACTAAAACATTAAAGACAACTTAAAATAAAATCTCAAGGACGTCATAAATCAGAAGACTAAATATCTTAAAGACGTCATACGAATCTTTTCTGATTATAGAATCTTTTATGAGATATCTTCGAAATTTTAAGACAATGTTTACATGATTTCATTATAATTTTTTCTTTGCCGATATTTATACTATCTTAATGTTGATACTCTGATTTGGCATATTCGAAATCATTCCCGCATCTTTGATACTTGATACTTTGATATTTGCACTTTAAGCGATCAGTATTGCTTGTTTATTTACTTATTCCGGTTTATGTACGCAAAGTTTGTTTATATAGCCGTGTTATATATAGACCTATTGTGATATCTCTGCGATTATAAATATCCCCCTAATCTCATTTGCTCTGTACGACAATCTTTTTGCCCGTAAACACCTTGTTTTTCCATGTTCACAACAAAAATTATGCTGCTTCATGACGCGAATGGATAGGACAACATTAGATTGTCAAAGATCGAATGTAATGTATAAAATTATTAAAGTCAAACAAAGATTATTAAAGTCTTTCTCTTAGGGCTAATTTAATAAATTAAGATTTACAAATTCTTTCTAATAAATTTAATTAAATTAGAGCTAAGAGAAAAATTTTTCGAACAATTTGAATTATTTAATTTAATTTTTTAATTTAATTTACTTTATTGCAACGCTCTGTGAAAAGACTACATGTTAATAAAATAGATTATAGTTATATTATTGTAGCTTTTCAGAAATATTGTGACGAATTGGAATAAAAAGTTCATGTTCCTTATTATAGAAAGAAATGTCTTTGGTATTTTTAACATATTTAGAATTCACTATCTTTATAATTTTAATAATAAAATTCTTTTTTAAAACAGATAAATCAATTTTTTATTTATCTGTTTAATAAAAAAAATCTGTTAAATAAAAAAAATTGATTATTAAAAATTGTATGTTAATCGTCAATTAATCGATAGTTCTAATGTTGAGCACACTAAGTGCTAGCAATCATCAGTCCTAGTATTCTAATTATACAAGCAAATGTGTCACATTCGTTGCGTGCTGAATGACCATGATGCGTCGATTTTTGTAAATATTTGCGATAAATCGAACGTCGCATTGACGGTGTTCATGCGTTTGATAACGAAATTCGATGTTAAAACAAGTATCAAAATTATATTTCGTTTCTAATTATTAAATAAATTTCAAATTTCTATTTTAATATTCATTAAAAATTTTTTTTCCAAAAGGTAATATTTTTTAAATAAAAGGTTAATTTTTTAAAAAGTTAATTGCAAAACATACATATTTACATACAAATGCAAATTTTGTTTGATTTGAAATTTAATCTGAAGTATAGTAGAATTTTCGTACTGACCACCTCGATTAAATTTATTTTTACCGAGCCGCAATATCTGAACGCGTATTTCCATTTTAATATTTATTTTTAATTTTTTTTTAATAATAGAAAAAAAATTTTATTATCAAGTTGGAACAAAAGTGTATTATAAGTATTTGTAGTGCTACTTATACCATCTGTACAGATTTTTAAGAAATACTTTTTTAAAAATTTTGTAATTATATTATTCAATAGAACAAAATCTCAGAATTTGTTTTTTAAATTGTAGTGCAACTACTGATTTTTAACGAAATTTTGAACAATTGAAGTTAAATAAAATGCTCCTTTTATTTAATTTGCAATAATTTAGTAACACAAAATTTTGGAAATATTAAAAAAATGAATTTTTTTTCTAGGGAAAACTAAGCTTTTACATTAGAAAGTAAAAAATTTTCGTAAATTTTTTTGGATACGTGATAAATCCATAAAACGAGAAGCATATTCTCCATTTTTTGTCCCACTCATAATTTTTTACATTTAAAAATTATCAAATTCACAGGAACTTAATAACAACAATATAATCTTTCGAAAATAGAAATTTTACTCTAAAAGTCCCTTTTTTATAATTTAAATTTTGTTTATTTTTAACGAAGTTATTACTGCTTGAATTTTGAACTAACGTTACTTTTGTTCTAATTCAATACTTAATTCAATTACATGTCAAGAAGGGACTTGGTTTATTTTAATTTAATTTCTCTTAACCTACATTATCCATCCATATCTTCTGTTAGTATATAATTAATTAAAATCTGCAGCTAAATATTGTTATTTTCTAAATCTTCTCCTAAAACTTATTTTATACGTTTATATTTCAAAAGATAATATTTCTTAAGGTTAATTAATTGCGAAACACACACACACACACACACACACACACACACACACACACACACACACACACACACACACACACACACATGCTTACAATGCAAACCTCGTTTGAAGTCTAATCCAGTCTAATCTCTATAATGGAACGGCCGCCTCAATTAGGCAGGACTTATTTTCGCCGAGCCGCGATGTTTGAGCGCGCATTTGTAGCCACGCGTCACTGCCACGCGCCGCTCGTTATACCCCATCGGCGATGGCGATTGTTTCCCCTCAACCGCGCGAAAAAATGATTGCTGTAAGTCCGCGTCACCGAGCTGAACGCGTTGCAATAATTGCAACGCAGTGAGTGAATCACGAATGAGAAGACGAGGGATTTATCTCCGCAGAATCTCGCGATCATTTTGCATCAGCATTCGTGATGCGATACAACTATTACGTAATTCGTTTGATGAACTAAACAGAAGACGAAATACGCGCACGCATCATATTTTCGCTTGGAGACTTGGAAAGTCCGATTCATTTCCTTCACAATTGTAAATTTTATTCAGATAAAGTTTAAAATTGGATCACAAGATATCTCTAGAGTCGACGTATTACTTCACTTGAAAACGTTAGCAATAATTTCTTTTATAAAGAAAAACTAAACCAATTTATCTATCACTAAACTAATTTATTAAAGAGCATTATTGAAAGAGTAATCTCTTGATATTTATAACATGAATGATTGTCTTTTAGTATTAAATGGACTAATATTATAACTTTTCGTATTATAGGCATTTTTTTGACCCATATTTTATTTTTAAATTTCTTAGCACAAATTTCAATTTTTATTTAATAAAGATTTTAACGTTTGAGTTAAATGATTATTTGGCACAGACATTATTTGTAACAGACATGTTGAAAAGTAATTTTGAATTTTTCTAGATTTGAAAAAAATAAAATTTAAGTGATTCGTATCTTTATATTACTATTGATTTTTTTTTAAAAAATCACTATTACAAAATTTTCAATTCAAGTATGTATATTATATGTATATTATTATGTTATAAATATTTAATTTACGTACTAATATCCACAGATTCGCGTAAGCATTTTGATAGTGTTTGATTCAGTTTTAGAACCATTATATAATATTATTACTTTATTTTATTTTATTTTAAAATATGAATTATAAAATATTGCTTGTAAGAACATGTTTAACATATTTTTTTTCTTTTTTATTTTTAATTCTATTTTTTATGAATTTTTAAATACGTAATTCGAAAACCCGCAATGAAAAGCGTTATATTAATTAAAATCTTTATTTTTTAAAATTATTTTCAATATATATATAAGCTACTTAATGAGCTTATTTCGTTTAATATTTGTTTCTACTTACTTTTAAAAAATTGTGATTAAATTCATATTTACAATGTTCATAAATACTAATAAATCTGAACATAATCAATAATATACAATACATTATTAAAAATAATAATTTTAATCGGATGTAAAAACATCTCAGGTAATTATTTATATAAAAAAATTAGATGACTACAGCAGGGTTAAGACATCTTTTACACATTTTATAAGATTTATGTCCTGATTTTTTGTTGTGTTGGACTTTATGTTGTTTGGTCAATGTCGCCTTGTCAGGTTCTGTCTGTTTACGATAAAATGCCTATTCAATAAGACATAACCGTTAGCTCGAGATATCGCAATCTCAGGAGAGATTTATCGAAACCGCTGAATGATTAACTAACCGGAGTACATTCGCGATTGCAATTTCTTGATGGAGGGATCGAGATGGTGGAGGATCCTTCGGTCGGCTCATGGTAACGTACTCTCGTATG